GATAGTGCCTTTGTTGAGCAGAATTATAGGGGCAGTTCTCCCCCAGCCATCTGCATATCACCTTCTGGAACTGTGAAAGCCACCCATCCAGGAACCCGGAATATGGAAGGGAACCAGGGAGGTAAAGGGAAAGAAGGAACCCGAGAGAGAAGAATAGTAGGAGAAAGCTGTTACTAAGGGAGAAATATGTAAAAAGGGGTAGCTGAAGGGGAAGGAGGGATGGAAGGCGATACAAAGAACTATGAATAAAGGGGGAGAAAAGTTCTCCCGATACACAGCCAAAAAAAAAAAAGCCTTAAACACAGAAGGAGCCCTACGGGGATGGAAGAAAGTCCTACCAGAAGCCATATGGTTGTTAAATGAAAATCCCGGTACCAGGGGTGGGTGGCCTCCCCATGAGCTGTTGGCCAGAGAGGCCCTAGAGGTCCCCAGAACAATAAAGGCCATTGCCAATAATGTTGGCTGTACACCAGAAGTGGATGGTAAAACCCTATTGCTGAAGATGCCACATGATATGAGCTTGGGGGAGGGAGAAATCAAGCTTGGACTAAGCTGGAAACTCCCTGCCCTTTCTATTTTGTGGGTCAGTTTTCCGGGCTCTTCCTTAAGGTTTGGTAGAATTCTACATTAATTCCATGTGGTTCTGTGCTTTTCTTTGTGGGAGACTTTTTATTACTGCTTCAAGCTCATTGCTTGTGGATCTGTGTAAGTTATTAATTCCTTCTTGAAAGGTCATATATGCCTAGGATTTTATCTATTTCTAGATTTCCCAATTTTTTGGAATATAAAATTTTGATGTAACATTTCCCTTATTGTCCTCTGGGTTTCATTAGAATTTGCTGTAACATTTCCTTTTTCATCTCTAGTTTTGTTAATTTGAGTCTTTTTCTTTTGGTTAAATTGGCTAGGGATTTGTCAACCTTAAATATTTTGTCCAAGAACTAACCTTTTGTTTGGTTGGTTGTATTGTGGGGTTTTTTTGTTTTTGTTTTTGTCTCCATTTCATACATTTCCGTCCTAAGACCCTGAGGTGCATCATTAGGTTGTTTATTTGGTATCTCCTTGATTTTTAAATTTTATATTTATTTATTTGTATTTAATATTTTTGAGTGTTTTGCCTGTACACCAAGCTGGCCTTAAACTCACAGAGGCATCTGCCTCTGCCTCCTAAGTGTTAGGATTAAAGGTGTGCATCACCATGCCCGGCCCCATAAAAAAATGAAAATACTACTAAAACTATAGTAAAATGAAAAAGAAAGGCCACACAAGGAGTGTTGGAAGGACTTCTTTCTGGGTCCTTCAACATTGGAGTCTGTCATGTGGATGGGGCTTCAGTTGAACGTGTAGACTGGTTTTTCCTATGATTTATGCTGGTGCTGTACCCCCTGGCAGGAAGCTGCAAGGCTAGAGATGTGAGTCCATCTTTTTAAGGAGTTGTCCTGCTGATTTTTTGTGCTTTTCAGCTGGTCTATCATCCCCTTTGTGAATTTCGTGTGCTCTTCCTCATTTTCCCTCTTTGGATAGCCCATTCTGTCTTATCTTGACTCTGCTCTTCCTCCATGTTATGTGGGGCAGCTCTAATCCACCTCTTACCAGGAACTACTACCTATATTTTAGAAACTGTTTTCTTCTTTGTAACAATGGTATAGATTTAAGAACTAAGGCAACAATTTGAGATTAAAATAAGGGTTATAACTCTGTACCAAAATTAAAAGACAGTATGCACCATGCACTAACTACTGTGGTACGCAAAATAGTTGCTCCCTAAGTTGTCCACATCTTCATTTCCAGCAAGTTAGGTTACTTCGCAAGATGGAATAGAGGTAGCAGGTGGAGTTAATGCTGCTAATCAGATGACAATGAGATTATCCTGGGATTTCCAGGTGGGCCCGGTTTATCACAGGGATCTTTAACAGTGAAAGAGGAGGCAGAAGAAAGTCCAAGAACATGTGGCAGTCCTGGGGCTGCAGTGATGTGATTGCTGGCATCGAAGAGGGAAGGGGACCATGAGCCTAGAATGAGCAACCTCTAGAAGCTGGGAGGGCAAGAGATGCCCTGGGGAAGCTCTTAGCTCTGGCTCCTGTCCTACACCTCTAGGATGAACACAGCCATCCCAGTCCCTAGGGTTCATTTTTTGCTTTTAATATTTCTCTATTTCCCTGTTTTGATTTTTTGTTTGTTTGTTTTTTGAGATAGGGTCTCCTTATAGCCCCAGCTAGCCTGGAACTCCTATGTAGGCCTGGCCTCGCTCTTACAGAGATCTTCCTGTTCTGCCTCCCAAATACTCGGATTTATTTATTTTTATTTTATATGTATGAGTGTATTGCCTGCATTTGTGTAGTAAGTAACCTGTGCGTGTAGTGCCCATGGAGGTCCATGAGACAACCTTGGATCTCTGGAACTGGAGCTATAGACAGTTGTCAGGTGGGTGCTGGGAATGGAATCAGGACCTCTTTAAGAGCAACCAGTGCCCTTAACTACTGAGCCATCTCTCCAGTCCCCTACAGTCAAGTCTTACTTAGTTCTGTACCTACACAGTAAATTCGGAATAGGATTTTAGATGTTGAAATGTATGGGTAGGTGGAGTGAAGGGGTCCACGAAGTAAAACTTCAGTCCAAAATCTAGCCCGTGGGTCTTCATTCAGTCCTTGGATGAAAAGTGCTGTTGGGTTGGATCCCAACTCCAGATACTTTTCTAGATGCCACTGCTGCTGTCAGTCTTCTCCACGTTCACCTCCACTAATGACCTCATTTCTTTGGCCTTGCTTTTTTAAAAACTATTTTATTATTTTTATTTTATGTGTATGCGTGTATTGCCTGCGTGCAGGTAAGTACACCCATGTTGTGCAATGCCCGAGAAAGACAGAAGAGGCTGTCCGGATCCCCTGGAATGGGAGTTACGGACAGTTGTTAGCTGCCATGTGGGTGCTGGGATTCAAACCCAGGTCTTCTGCAAGAACAACCAGTGTTCATAACCACTGAGCCATCTCTCCAGCACCCAGCCTTGCTTTTTTTTTGGATACAAAAATGAGGGTCTTAGTCTGGGTAATTCTAAAGCATCTCCTTTTAATTTCATCATTTCAGACCACCTGTTAGCCTAGGCGCCATCCCACAGTACAGTACCATAGCTCATAAAGTCACACATCAGCCTGCTTCTAAGGTTGATGAATGGGCTATTCTTTCTTGTGTCCTAGAGCCTGCAGTCTGTGGATTTAGAGCTTGCTTCTTTAGAGCATACTTCTCCATGTGTTCACAGCCACACTCGCTCCATTTAGAATGCTAAATGAAGCATCTGTGGCCTCGGCCTTCTGAGTGCTCTTCTCACCTCTCCCAGCCACTCCTCTCTGTTCACTCTGACCTAATCATATATTGCCATATGTCATTTAGCATTATTCACTCATTAATCAAGGCAACAGCTTTGAGCACGTGATTTTTTTCCCCCTTGTTTCTATTTTACTTTCCCCTGAGATTCTAGGCTCCTTCAAAGTCAGGAAACAGTTCTATGGCCTCTTTGTTGTCCCTGTAGGAGACCTCTCAGGACTGTGCACGTAGTTGCTGCTCAGGAAATATTGACTGGGGATTCATCTGAGTGTGATCAAATTGCATTCAATCTTTGTTGCTATTATCATACAAAGTTTCTGCCTCGTCAGCAGCAGTATCGGGCACTGCTCTTTGAAGAGTATTGAGCTCTTTGGAGTATCCTGAAGGCAGACAGTGTTTGATCTTAGCTCTTGAACTAGCCTAGTTCTTAGAGATAAAGGGTCAATTCCAATGGGTGTTATGGAAGTTTAGAGGAGGCTTGGTAAAGATTTTATGAATGAGTTGAGACTTGAGCAAGGCTTTGAAGGTTGGGCTTTGAATACTAAGGAGCTATTACTTAGAAACTGAAACCTCATTAAGCATTGTTACAGACTTTGTAGTGTGCAAAAAAGGGGTTTCAGAGAGAGAGTTATGAAATGGCATGAACTGGGAAAGGAAGGATGTGTGGAACACTCAGCTGTGCTGTGGTTCAGGCTGGCCATAGGGGAGGAAGGCCACGTAGTTTGAACTTCAACTCCATCATGTATTTCAACATTCTTAGTCTCTGTGGGCCTCAGTTTCCTCATGTATCAGGTAGAGAGAATTATATAGCTTATAAGGATTAAATGAGATAATGAATGAAAGGTTTATAGATTGGAAATTAGTACATGGTAAGCTTACTGAATAATACCTCCTATCACCTTGATGATAATTTTTTTTCAGCTTACCAATCATTTTGCCTTATTTCCTCTGAATTCTGAATTGTGTGGTTATATTGTGTTCTTATCCACTGTGTTTGTATCCACTGATAGCAAATATTTCAATTCTTAGAAAAAAATGGCCTATTATTATTTAAAGAAACGATTAAATTCACTCTACCCTATCTGGTAAATGTATAGTTGGGATAAATAATGTTCAAAATGATAGAGAATGGTAACTACTGCCCTTAGGGTTAGTTGGGCTGTGTTTAGGAGCCCCTACTTTCTAGCCTGTGTGGCTTTCAGTTGGGCTGCTTTGCTCTTGATGTGTGCTGCTAGTCGTCTTTAAATGGTTCATTAGCTGTGATGATGGCTTTTGCTGTGTCTAATAATGAGTCCTGTCAGGATTTCGCCATACCAGTTGAACCTGGCTGATTGTGCCATGTATTTTTTTACTGGTGCCCATATAAAATTCCAGTGAGTCCTTTGATTGGAGAGATGAGATTGTTTTAATCTTTATTATCTAATTGGCTGGGTTGAGTTTTCTGTTGTATTTAATATTTTGAGGTTGGGAAAAAATATTCTTCTCTCCCTCTCTCTGTTCAGAATTTCTTAGTTTCCGGAGCAGTTGAACTGTTTAGAGTAATAGGGTCCCTCAAGTTATGCTAAATATATATTCTTTCCAATCTTGCATTGCACAGGCCAGTAAATTATGAACAAAATATGTAAATGTCTTACAAATTTAGTTTTCAAGAGTGTCATAATAATTTCTTTCTTTTGCAGTGGTTGGAATTGGAAGAGGAACAAAAATGTTGACCAGTATGTTGTCAGGGTCCAAGGTAAGATTATTGAAATATTTTTCTTCTTTGATGGTTTTCTTAATGACCTACATGCTTACATGTCTATGAAAAGTGTAGTGGCACACGCTTTTAATCCCAGCACTCAGGAGGCAGAGGCAGGAGATCTCTGTGAGTTCAAGGCCTGGTCTACGTAATGAGTTCCAGGACAGCTGGGGCTACAGGGAGACCCTGTCTCAAAAACCAAAAAAAAAAAGTAAATAAATTGCCAGTGTTGGTAGTATAGGCATGTAGTCCCAGTACTGGGGATGCCAGAGGAGTAAGTTCAAAGCTAGCCTGAACTACATAGGGAAACTGTTTCAAAAACACTAAAGCAAATAAGTGAATAAGAAAGAATAAAGTCTAGTTTGCATGGGCAAGCATCCTTCCTACCCTCACGGTGCTGCAGACGTGAGACGATTAATTGAATGGTTAGATTTTAAAAACAAAATAACTTAGTATTTTATGTTTATATATATATGTGTGTGTGTGTATGTGTGTGTATGTATGTATGAGTGTATTGCCTGCATGTATGTGAGTGTACCCGTGTCGTACAGTGCCACGGAGGTCAGAAGAGGGTGTCAGATTCCCCTGGAACTGGAGGTAAGGATGGTTCGTAGGCGCCATGTGGGTGCTGGGAATCGAACCCGGCTCCTCTGCAAGAGCATTCAGTGCTCTTAACCACTGAGCCATCTCCCCAGCCCCTATATTTAGATTTTTAAGCATATAATATTTCTTAGATGAAAGGAACTCACCAGTTGTAAATTCTACTGAATGATGTGTGTGTTGTGTAGTATGCATGTGTAGATACACGTGTTCTTGTGTATATGTATGCTCAAGTGCCATGGCATGCATGGGGAGGTCAGAGGACACCCTCATGGGCAGTTCTTGCCTTCCACTTTGTGTGAGGCAGCTCCCTTTGGTTGTTTGCAGCTGCTACTCCAGGTGAGCTGACCTGTAAGCTTCCAGGGATCTTGCTATTATAGGAGCCCTGAGAGCTACCTGGGTTTGGGGGATTCAAACTTATGTCCTTATATTTGCACAGCAAGCACTTTACCCACTGAGCCATTTCTCCAGCCCTGGAACTTTTTTTTCAGTCTTGGAATTTTTATAAAAATAAAACATTTTGTTAACCATGAATTTTTAAATGAAAACATGCTTTCATTAAACAATAATTTTAAATGCTTATTAAGAAGACAGTGGGAGTACTGGGGAGATGGCTTGGTGGGCAGAGTGCTTGCTTCCCAAGCATGAAGACCTGAATTCTGATCCCCAGCACTTAGATGGTGTGCCAACATGGTGACATGTGTCTGTAACCTTATTGCTGGCAGTCAGAAACAAATGGATCACAGGAACAGGAGCTCGCTGGATGGCCAGCCTAGACAAAATGATGAGTTCCAGGTTCAATGAGAGACCCTACCTCAAAAAACTAAGGTGAAGAAGCAATTATAAAAGATATTCTGATGTCAACCTCTGGCCTTCACATGTATCACACAGGTGAACAGACCTTCACAGATGCATATATCATATATAATAACCAAAAGAAGACTGTGGGACCCCATTAAGATGATAAATTAGGGACAGGAGAAATGGTTCAGCAGTTAAGAGCCCTGGCTACTCTTGCAGGAAACCTAGGTTTGAATCCCAGCACCCACATGGCAGCTAACAACCGCCTATGACTCCAGTTCCAGGGGGATCTGAAGCCCTCTTCTGTCCTCCACCCGTACTTCATGTCATGGGTGCACTTACATACATGTAGGCAATACACACATTAAAATAAAAATTAAAAAAATTTAAAAGATGATAAATTATATTGTTCATCTATAGAAGTGGCCTTGAATAAATCCAAGTGTACTTTTTCAAGCACTTATTAGGAAAAAGAGGAGGTTGGAAACCTGTGAACTGCTTGGGGCATTCAGCAAAGGAACATTGGAATGGAAATCAGGATGTCTCCATAGGAAAAGTTATAAGTATCTCTTCTAGCTCTAAAAAAGATAAATACATATGGATTGCAGTTAGAAGTTGGCCCATGGTTGTAATATCTAGGGCTGGTGGCCAGTGGAAATGCCTGTGAGAGGAAGCTCAGTACATAAAGAAGGGTTTCAACTAGTTCCTGGACTAACATTTTATTTGTTTAAAAAGCCTTTCTCTAAATGTGGTATGAGTAGTTGGTAAATTTATTTTTATTTTCTTTCTTTAAAAAACAAAATCTGTGGTCAAAAACTGAAAGAATTCCCAATTAATTGCAGAGTGATTTCTTGTAAAATATAATTAAGATGTTATGGCAGTGTTGAGTTGCTAGCAGTTTTTAAACCTCATTTTCTGAACATATCTTATTATAGATATCAGCCTGTTGGCCTCCCTTTGAGTTGCAAGTAGTCTAAGTAAATTTTTCTTAGAACAAAAGGCCCTGAAGACATCAACAGGTGTTTGTTTGTTTGTTTGTTTGTTTGTTTGTTTTAAAAAAAAACAAAAACAAAACCTATGCTTCTTAGGAAAAAGGGATCTTAGTGTCTGAGATAAATGAAAAATTTCAATGTGGCTTGCTATGTAACCATCAAAGTATTGGTACTGAAAAATCACAGAATATAAAAAGTGTGTTAGGGACTAGAAATGGCTCAGTTAAGAATGCTTACTGTGCAACCATGAAGACCCAAGTTTGGATCCTAGCTCCCATGTAACAAGCTGGATATTTGAATGAGAATGTCCCCAAGAGGCTCCAAGTATTCTGACGTTTTGTCCCCAGTTGGTAGTGCTGTTTTGGGGGGCCTTATAAGGTTTGGCCATGCTGGAGGAAGCACATCACTGGGGGAGGGCTTAGAGAGTTCTTAAGCCTTGCCAGATCTCAAGTCCCTTTCTTTTTCCTGTGCCTGCTTGAAAATGTGAGAGCTTAGCTTCTGTTCTACTCCAGCCACCTCTGCCACCATGCCTTCCCACCGTGAGAGACTCTTTTATAAGTTCCCTTAGTTGTGGTGTTTCTATCACAGCAACAGAAAAGTGACTAATACAGAGGGGCAGGGACAGGATGATGGTTCAGCTTGCTGACTGCCAGTCTAGCTGAAAAATACGAGGTCTAGTTCAGAGCGAGATCCTGCCTGGAAGGAATAAGGTGGAGTATGGTAGAGGAAGAACCTGGCGCCTTCCTCTGGCCCCTGCCACTGTGCTTGCACCTGCTTAGACATGCACACACCTCCCCAACACATGCGCACATGCATGCATGCATACACAAAAGTGTATTAAAATTAAATAAGTGGCTGCAGGTGATGGTGCACACCTTTGATCCCAGCACTCCAGAGGCAGAGGCAGGTGGATCTCTGTGAGTTTGAGACCAGCATGGTCCACAGAGTGAGTTCTGTGCCAGCCAGAGCTACACAGACCCTGTCTCACAAAACAAATCAAAACATAAACAACCAAAAAAGTAAATATGTGGCTGTTTATTGTAAATTTATGCATTGTACTTAAATGCTATCACAGTTTTTCAATCTGTTTCTGATATAAGTTTTTGCCGGTTGCTTAATATTTGTTTCTTAACTCCAAAATATAAGCTGTGGTTATTCAGCAGAGAAATAAGGATTATGTTTATTTTTTCTTTTGCATTATTCTATATTTTAACAGTTTTACTATAAATAAATCACTTTTATGCTAGTAACAAAATTAGATTCACATTGATAATTTGTTCAGGGTTTTTTTTTCTTTCTTTCAAGCTAAAATCTGTTGAGGTCATTGAACTATTTGCTATCCACTCCTCTCCACAAACTCATAAGTACACACAACACATTGTGTGCTACTAAAAGAATTCACTTGTAAATTCCAGGCATATTTTCAGAACTATGATAACTGAAGATGTAAATACATCTGGTTTAAGTTTTATTTGGTTCAGACTATTTTTGGTGTTTAGCTAGAAAAGCTGAATGTCACAGAGAGAAGTCAGATCCTCAGATGACACATGTGCGTAGAACACCCCAGGTGCGTCTTGTTATAGAAACCTGGTTCCTATGTGTTTACCTTTAAAAATAGGCATCAGTGCTTTGTTAACTGCTTGTGTTTCTCATGCTTTTAATTTTATATTTTGTATTTGTTGAAAAAACTAAATACTTTTCATTTTATTTTTAAGTGTATTGAAAATTACATTTTTGTTAGAAATAATTCTAAACTATTACTAGATATTGTTTTGACAGACTGTATCTATTACTTTATATGTTGCTGTGATAAAAATACCTAGCAAAGCTGGGCGTGGTGGTTGCACGCCTTTAATCCTAGCACTGGGGAGGCAGAGGCAGGCGGATCTCTTGTGAGTTCAAGGCCAGCCTGGTCTACATAGCAAGTTCTAGGACAGCTGGGGCTACACGGAGACCCTGTCTCAAAAAGACCAAAAAAAAAAAAAAAACCTAAAAAAACCTAACAAAAGCAGCTTAAGGCAGGAAGGACTCATAGCCCAGGATGCAGCCCATCCTGGTAGGGAAGGCGTGGGGTAGAAGCATGAGATGACGTCATGGATCTGCAGGGAGGAAGAGAGTGTTGAGTGCTTGTGCTCTGCAGCATTTCTCCCTTTTATTCAGTCTGGGACCCCAGCCCTGGAGATGGTAAGGCCCACCTTTAGGGTGCTCTTCCCACCTCAGTTCATCTACATAATCCCTTACCAACAAGCCCAGAGGTTTGTTTCCATTGTAATCGTGAATCCCATCAAGTTAGCAGTAAATATTAACTATCACACAGACTTGTTTAGCCCTAGAGAATATCTTAGATATTATCTTATCTAGTCACTTAATTTTTTACCTAGAACCATAATAAATTCATTTTACACCGTTAACCTGTATTCACAGACATACAGAAAATATAAGCAAAAATTTTATTAAATAACATCAACCCAGACTGAGTCTCATGTAATCTAAACTAGACTGGAACTTGCATACTGACCTTGAACTCCTGATCCTCCTACCTCCACCTCTTAGGTGCTGGGATTATAAGTGTACATCACTACACCTGGCTATGGTACTCCATTT